AACCCAAACGGATTTGGTATGTACTAAGTAGGCTTATGCTCTAGTCCCCCCCCCCCAAAAAAAAAAAACCTTCATTTTCTTGTTTTTAGCTTCTCCGCCATTGGTTTAGAAAAGTGGGGTCCACGAGGTGAATGGAGGAGAAAAAATAATGCTTTGTCTATTACTACTTTACTATTACTTTAATCCAACCCCTTGAATTCATTTTTAATATTAATAAATTTTTTTTTGTTGAGTAATGAAATCATTTTCTAAAAATAATATATTTGTATGATTTCTAATTTATATATAAATTTATCCATTAAATATTTTTAATTAAATATTTTAATATTTATTTATTTATTTATTTCTAACAATTTTATTTTCAATATTTCTTTTACAATCGTCACATTATATATATTTAATATTAAATATGTATTACCCAATAAAATTTACATTCTTTTTAGTCATTTTACATTTAAACTGATTTTTTTATTAATCATTCAAACAACTTAGTTTCTCAAACTATTTCTTTTAAAAAGTCAATCCAAATATAAATCACATTATACCGTTTAACTTTTACCCAATATGACTTTTATAATAGTCATATTAAAAAAAGTTACTTCTACCGTTACTAATACAAATACACCCTTAGAGGGCAGTCTAGTCCATCACATGAGCATATGCTCCAAAGCTGATTAACTTTTTTCACATACCAAAAAATAAAAATTTAAGTGATGTTTAGATAGAAATTAAATCATGGTTTTAAAAGTGATTTTACAATATATAAAATAAGCATGTAAAATAAGTCTTGTCTCAACTACCAAGCACCCCTTAGTCATAAAAAAAATGTTCTAAAATGATAAAGAAAATTTTTATTTTATCCCCAAAAAATGATAAAATTATCTTTAATATTACACTTTTATGATTTGACATATCTCTCCTCTCCCTCCTATATTTAATAGGAACAAAAGTGAAAAAATTATATTAATGATTTTGATAACCTCTTATATTTTAGATTATAATTTTCTTCTAATAAATGTTTTCTATTATGGACAAGAGGGAGTACCCTTTTTTTCTTGTTTTTGTGTTCATTTTGCTGAGGAAAATTTTACTGCTATTACATTTAAGTTATTATTTTGTGTTATGAGAAATATATTAGAAATGCCTTTTTAATAAGATGGAATAGTTTTTGTTTGCTGGTAAAAAAATAATTTTTATTTAATTTATCACCATGTCATCACTCCTTTTTTTTTTAGGAACATTGTTATGCAGATATCGTTTTTAGGTCATTACAACCAAATTGAAATTGAGAGAAAGCATTTTTTTTTCATGTTGCTCATGTAATTTTTTAAAGATACTATTGAAACAATATTTGCAAACATATTTAAAATTTCTAACTAAATCAATCAATCTTTTAATATTAAAATCACAAGTTGATTTCTTATGAAAAAAACCAAAAGCATCCAGGTTAAACCACAAACAAGAAGCTCGACGTCGCATTGGCCTCCACGTAGTCAGAATCCCTTGGGCATCAATTAAGAAGAAAATAAAAATACATTTTTTAACTTCACGATCAATCACAGAAAGAAAGGACCAAAGATATTAAATGCTGCACCATAAATTTAGCTCGCGCAGGCCACCTGTCAGCCGGTGAGGGGATCAATTGAATTCTCACCTCTCTTATTTCAAAACATATGACCTTTGATTTCAAACTGGTCAACATCCAAGGCTCAAGTCTATCTATCCATACTCAATTTAAAATGATTGACTTAGAGGTGTTTGGATAACCTCAAATCATGGTTTAAAGAATAGTTTTTGAAAAATAGATTTTGAGAAAATAGATTTTAAAGAATAGATTTTTTGAAAAAGTAATTCTGATAAAGTGGGAGTGTTTGGATAGTTATTGTCAGAAATACTTTTTTATATCTTGAAATTACTAAAAAGGACATAGATTTAAATGATAATTACATATAACATATATTTCATAATATATGTTTATTTGAAGTAATAAATTTGTTAATAATATATATTTTGACAACATAATAAATAAGACATAAATAATATAAATAATAAATAATTAATGTGTATATATATAAAATAATTACATATGTTTTTAGAAAAATACTTTATTTTGCCAATAAAAAATATTATTATTTATTAAAGATTTTAAACATAAAATCCCATAATTTTTTGCACAAAAGTATTATTTATTAGGCTGCCAGCCAGCCTCGACGAAAGTCACTCTCCAATAAAAAATATTATTATTTATCACTCCTCAGAAGCTCCCCGCGTGATGCTTCAGCGAAACCAAGGTTTGCAAGCTCAAAACCATGGTTTTAAAAAAAAAAACGAGGTGTTTGGCAAATTTTTTCCCAAACCATGGTTTGAAAAAAAGCCAAACACCCCCTTACTTTGATGATGGTATAGATTACAGAGATTATGTGCAATTTTATCAAGGCGAAAAATGCAATCAGCATCCTAATAATATTTCTCAAGTGTACCAAGTATTCTAATCTTTTTAGTGTGCAATTTTACATGTGATTTATTAAATTTGGTACCCATTTTTTAGTTTTTTTTATGTAATTTAATTTGATTATTTTGCATGAAAGTTGTTTATAATTTGATTAAAAAAACTAAAATTATTAATTTTAACTGTTAAGGTGAATAAAAGAAAAAAATAATTTTAAATAGATAGAAAAAGGTGAATAGAAATAAAATCAGAATGTGTATCTACACATGGAAAGGAAAAAAAAAAAAAAGATTCCAGTGCTGACTGCACCTTTTCCATTTTATCAAGTACCATAAGTAGTTGAAGTGCATTTGGCAATGAGTGAATGTGACTTTCTACACACCATTCTCTACTTTCCTCTTCTTTCCCATTACATGCGTGTGCAAATATGCAAATGTCAGTCATGAAATGTGGCCCCATCAGAAAAACATAGTCCTAAATTTGCCACTTTTATTTTGGCGAACCAGAAAAATAAGTTTGTGAGCCCTGTAAAACTTTGTTTTCGTTTTTTACGAGCTAAGGTGTTCCCTCATATTATTATCTGTCCCATGTTCTCCCTTTTGTTTAGTTAGAGATCATTTGTACTAAAATGGGCTGTCTGGAATTATACAAACCCTTATCATGCAACTATATAACTGTTTGCTGTGCTCTTCTGCCTTTGGCTGTCATAGCCACTTTGTCTAAACTAATAAAACTAATTAATTTTTTTTAATTAAAAAATTCTTTGTTAGTTATTGCTGTTAGTATTTATTTTCATAAACTTAAATGCTCAATCTTCTTCAGATAATAATACTTCCGCCGGCCCCATGACCCCCATGGGGAGATTGGGAGCCTCCCCTCCTTGCGGCTGCTCCCCGACCAGGGGTGGTTGGGGAGGGTCTACGGGCGGGGTTGGCCGAAAGAGAGCACCCTCCCCTTGCTGCTGCTCGTTTTGGGCCGCTGATGACACCTTCTGATAAAACCATTTATCAATCCGGGAGCCACTCCACCCGGACGAGGTTGAGGTTTCGGGAGCATCCACTCTAGTTCTTAATATAACAATTTATTTGACTTTTTATTTTAATCTTAATATAAGCTCTCAATACACTTTGTTTTTCATATTTTTTTTAAAATAGTCCTTATAACAATAGAAGTTCTAGCAAATATACTTGATTAGTAAGGTTATTTTAATAAAGACAATATTTATTTATTACAAATAACTAACTTAACTAATTTTTTTAATATACTTAAATTAATCAACTACTTCTTATATTAAGAATCGTGAGTAGTATCTTTTATTTGACTTGATGCAATTACCATTACCCATTGTACTCCTATGTGATAATAATAAAAGCAGGCAAATTTCTAGAATTCATGGGTTTGTGAATTGTGATCCACAACTTTTGGATCCAAAAACTGATCATCACCAAATTTCAACTTACTTGAAGTTTACTACTGCTACTTACTGATTGGTGGTAATTCACAAGGGAGTGAGGGACATGATGGGAATTTGGGAATTGATTGATGGGCATCACGCGATAGTAAACGCTCTTTTCTCCACACCACTAATCAAGGGACTCCGATTCTTTATTTTTAAGGTCTGCATTATGGTTAACAAAGCAGTTGAAAGAAAGTAAAATCAGTATTGGACAGCAAGAAAAGAAAAGGGGGGGGGGGGGGGAGAAAATAATCATAGAATTTAAAAATGTGAACGATGATTTGGGGGGTCCCATTGAATTTAGGTTTCTTATTCATCTCTTATTTTTTATTTGATGGGCATTCTCCTGCAAATGATTCCCCCCCCCCCCTACCTGATTGAGTTAGATCTGAGTATTATTAAACTCAAATTTGAGGCAATTCTCTTAATGGTGTTGTCTGCATTTAGACAGATTCAAACTTGAAACATCATACTTATTACTTAACCGACTAAGGTCCTTTTTATTAGAATCAATGCCTAATGGTGACATTGTTGTTACTATTTTCAGTATCTAATATAAAAAATTAAAAAAATTAGTTTAGTTACGTGTAATAAATTTAATACTGCTTGATTTTATAAAATTTAGATTGTTAAATTTTAATCTGATGATCTCTGTGATGAGATAGGGACTTGGAGGGATCCAATTCTCAGGTCGCCTGTTAGCCTTGACCTTTCATATGTAAGAAAACCCGTGAAAAAAATAAATTAAAAAAAAAAACGGAAGGAAATAAATGAAGAAACAAACTTAACCGAGCCTGGCCCGAGCTGGTGATTGGTGAATGATTGAAGCCGAATGACGCAAGTGATGTCGTAAATTTGAATTTTAGATCTGCTGCTATTTTTTTAGTACGTTTTACTCAATTTTTACACTCATCTGGGATTATATATATCTAGAATTAAACAATAATTAGTATTTGGTCACAAGCCGTGAATGAATAATAATCATCCGGATGTTCATCGCTGTTCCGTTTCTTAGATTGATGCTGAATTCTTGTTTCAGAGACGAAGCTTCATTTTCAGTCGAAGGCGTTTGCGCAGAGGAACGGAGGAACAGAGGATGGAGACGAAGGTGTTTTTGTCTTTATATCAACAAAACTTGAGCCTAATTACAAGAGACAAGAGGATTTAAGCAGGGGAAGAAAACAGAGAGAGAAAAATCGAAAGCTCCCGCATCTCCAGTCAATCGATGAGTAACATTAAAGACAAACAATCTCAACGGCGATCAAAATCCCCGGTCAAAATTAGCAAGCAAGAAAGAAAGAAAAAGGGCATATTCATTTATAACTTGGGAATCCCTACTCATATACACATCAAGAAGCGGATCTCGTTGCGGTTGAGGTTCTAGAAGCTTTCAGAAAATCGCAGATCAGCTAAGATTCGCCGGCGGCTAATAAAAGAGTTCTAAGCGTTTGGAACAGAGAGTGCAGAAATACTTGCGTTTGATCTTGAAGCACATAGGCAGGAAACAGAGGCGCCACTGAATCTCGACGTCGACGGCTTCGACCTTGCCGGAGCAGTAAGGGCAAGCGCCAGGTGCCTTTTGGCGTCCGAGCTCTTTCTGTTCTTCGTCGTAGAAGAAGACGAACCACATTTCTCGCCTGCAAGTTGTGGGTGGAGGTGGGGGTAGGGAAGGCTTTGAAGAGGCAAGGATCGCATGCCGAGCTTATTTATATAGAGGCCGGTTTGGTTGTTGGCTCACTCCGTCTTCGTTTCTTCGAATATTCCCTCATCCAAATCATCTGCAGTATTTAATCAGAATTTAAAAAAAAAACTATTAAAATATAAAGAAACCCCCCACAAAACCAAAGAAAGCGAGAAAATATTAGTTTATATATATTTTTGACAAAAATATACATCTTATTTTTTAAGAAGAATTACAATAAAATCTTAAAAAATTATAAAACAAATCTTAAAGATTATTATTCTTCATTTCATAACTTGTCGTTACAAACTGTTTAAGTTGTCATTAAAATTTTTTAATAATTATTTTTTTTCTAAAAATTTGATTATAATTCTCTTTATTTTTTACATGACTATGTCATATGTTAATCCATTGCATTCACGCGTAGTACTATTATTTCTCACGTTCTATGCTTGTGGACATTTTTGTATTAAATATGGATTAAAGTTAAATTTTTTGGATATACAATTAACTGTGTGTAATACTACTATGTCATTGATTAAAAATTCTAACAGATGGATGAAAAAAAAATAACTCAACTTTTTTTGGAGGGGGGGGGGTTTTTTTCTGGGGTAATTTGAAAGGGGCTATATCGGATCCGGATTCGTGAGCGGCGCCTCCACGCATGGCATCCGAGTAGGCACCTAGACGACATGCGTTTTTCGGCCTCAAGCTGACCTCTTCTTTTCTAGGCACAAGTTGATCTGACAGCTAAGAATTTCCTGGTTTAATGACCCTCACCCTATCTTTTACCCGAGAGGTTATAGGCTCTGTTGCTCAAAACCGCGAAAAAATTAGATTTTAAATAATGGTACGGAAGCTTTATAAACACACACGTGAATAGAAATCAAATTCTTCTCATATACTGCTTTCAGTTCTAATTATAAGAGTCAGTTGACTAATTTGAAGAGATTAAATATGTAAGTTGAGTTAGTTATTTGTCTTAAATAGGTGTTGTTTTTCTTAAAATATCCTTACTAATCAAGTGTATTGATTAGAACTATCATTGTTAGAATGACTGCTTTGGAAAAAAATGTATAAATATGAAAGACAAAATGGATTGGGGTCTTATATTTAGAACCAAAATAAAAGTCAAATAGGATCCGGAGATAGTATTTATTTGATATTATGTAAGTCTTTTCAAATGAGTCCTAATTTATTATGAGTAAATAATATAACTCACTCCAAACTCTATAAAACATGGACCTCGCAAGCTAGTTTATTTTGTATATCATTATCAGAGTTTTATTTATTTATATTATAAATATAAATTATATTTAACATTTTTTTACTGGTGAACTTTTGAGATTAAATTTTAACCATTTAAATTTACTTATATATTTTTAATTATAATTATAATAATATTTATTTTTAAAAGCATTAAATCCGAATCATTAAATCCTTAATTCAAAGTAAAGAAGAGGATAGAAGCCGCGTAAAGGAGGAAAAGAGTAGAAGAGAGCATTCTCTTCCGAAAAATGCGTGTCAAGTCCTCTGAGAATTTTATGGGAGCAATCCTGTTAGCAGGAAAAAAAAAAAAGAGTGACTTATTTCAGATGCAAATAGAATCATAAAGTAAATACTTGACTTTTGTAATTTTTGGATTAAATAATTTCAATATAATAATTATTTTCATTAATAAAAATATTTTTAAATAAATCTTTAATTGAATATTTAAAGGTCTGGAAGGTTGAAAAAACACTTTAAGATTAAGTGAAATTTTTTTTTTTAATATTGTATTTCAATTTTCGAGAGTTGTGTTGTGTGTCGGGATTTCCCGACTGTTATTAGGGGTGAGCATTCGGTTTTTCGGTTCGTTATCGGTGATAACCGAATTAACCGAATAGAGTAAATTTTAAACACCGAACCGAAACCGAATAACCGAACTAACCGAACCGAATTAACCGAAAATTTCGGTTCGGTTAACCGATTAACCGAATATATAAATATAATTTTAATTAAAATAATAATAAATTTATTAATTAATAAATATTTCATATTTGTTGAATATAATATATTTAAAAAGTTCACATATACCCACATTATATAAATATATTTATTAAATATAAATATATATATTTTATTTCGGTTATTCGGTTATAACCGAATTTTTTTTTCTACTAACCGAACCGAACACCGAAACCGAATTGTTTAAAAAATAAAAACCGAATATATAACCGAAAACCGAAATAACCAAATTAAATTCGGTTCGGTTCAATTTTCGGTTACGGTTCGGTTTTGCTCACCCCTAACTGTTATTCATCAGATATTGCCAGGGGAGTACGAAGCCAAAAAGAAAGAAACTTAATAGTAATACGAAAACGGAAAACGCAAGTCGTTTATGGGCCTTGCACCGGTGGATTAATTTATTTCAAATAATTTTATTAAGCACAAAAATAAGTATTTGAGAAAAGTTTTCCCTCGTTAAACATTTATTTCAAATAATTTGTATTTTGTGTATACTTTTTAAATTGAAACATACTTCTTATCATGAAAATATACGCATGAGATAAAAATAAAACAGCGCCCATTGAAATGTTGCTTCTTCGTTCCTAAGAGTACAGCAGGCCGCCCATTGTTTCAGCTGGGCCTGGGACGTTTCAGGCTTTCAGCTAAATTATTACATATATTCTTCATATAAAAACTAATTAATTAATTTAAATATATTAAAATAATTAATTAAATTAATTAATTATAATAAATAGATGTTATTTTTTCTAAATATTTTTACTAATCAAGTATCATTTGATGAAACATTTAACATGTGTAACTACTATAAGGACTATCTTAAAAAATAGATAAATATGAAAGATAAAATAAATTAATGTATTATATTTAGGACCAAATTAAAAGTCAAACTAAATACTACAGTATTATATTAAGTCTCAGAGGTAATATAGTTTACCTTAGAAAACACACGACTCATCAACTAATTAGTATCTCAAGGATAATTACATATGCCTCTCTAAAATATTAAGAGAAATTACCATCAATTTTCTTTTATTCTTTGGAATTACACTAGAAAATACTATATTCAGTCTTTAATATAAAAACTTATTTGACATTTAATTTGGTCATGAATACAAAACCCCAATATTTTGTTTCTAATATTTATTCATTTTGTTTTCAAGTGATCCCTATAGTGGTTACACATGTAAAGAACTTACTATCAATGAGTAATTCAAATATATATAATTAATAAGAATATTTTAAAGAATACAATATCTATTTATTATAAACAATTAATTTAACTAACTTTTTTAATCTCTCCAAATTAGTTAACTATATCTTACATTAAAGACGGGTAGTAGAATCATATCTCACACCATACCTTAGAGCCAGAAGCGTCGCTAGCAACGATTTTATAAAACACAACATATTTTGTATTTAGTTTCTCCACGTGGTTATAAAAATGCACGACTAATTAACTATACTCTTCGAATTAATGACTTTTATTAGGATAATTTTATATTTTTAAACAAGAAATAACAATTTTGGTTATCTTTTTTTTAATAAATATTTTAATTATCTTTCTCAATTTTTGTAAAGTAATTAACTGGATGTGGTTAAAAAAAAAACCCTAGGGAATACATTTGCACTTATTTGGGATCACAAGTGGACACCACACAATTTAAAATAAAATTTTTTAATATATTTATCTTGCATTTTATGTATCACGATTAAATAGTTAATTTGGAAAATATTTCCGTCATTTCGAACAAGCACAAGAAGGCAAATGTCCTCTACTGAGCCATATATGCTATACCAGACAACATATTGTATATTGACTATCAATTCCTCCGGTCCTAATTATAAGATCTAGTTAACTAATTTAAGAAGATTAAAAAAGTAAGTTGAGTTAGTTATTTGTCCTAAATAGGTGCTGTCTTTTTTAAAATATCCTTACTAATCAAGTGTATTGACTAAAACTATCATTATTAGAAGGGTTACTTTCGAAAAAAAAATATAGATATATGAGAGATAAAGTGGATTGGGATCTTATATTTAGGACCAAAATAAAAGTCAAATAGGGTATTATATTAAGGACTGGAGGTAGTATTAATTTATGGATAATATTGAATGTTTTAAGAATCTAATGACAGTAATTGTTATGCAATATCTAAGAAGTTGATGAGCCATTGGATAAGTTTGCTTTAAATAATAATTGATGAAAACGGCTGCCTTCATAAAAAATGGGCATGTGCAATGTGTATTTAGATATACCATATGCCAACATCAAATATTCTAATTAATTTTTTTCCTGCCAACCTCAAGAACAGTTCTGGTAGATGTCATCTTTGTCTGCCTAGCAACCAATTGACACTTTCTTGTCCTGAGAAAAATAGAATAAATTGTGATTTTTCTGACCCAATAAAGATATCTTGTGTTGTTTAATACATTATCCTAACTCCAAATATTTAATTTCAATTTGATTATTACGTTTAATTTGATTGCGTGTGTTTATAATGCTTCATTTGGTCGGGAGGGGTTTTCCACTTCTTATGATGAATTGTACGAATGGTTGGTCGAAACCATTTTTGCTTCCATTTTCAATAGATGGAACATTATGACAAGTAGAGGTGTGCATGAACCGGATTGGACCGAGTTTATTATTAACCTAAAGTCTGGTTTAGTAAAAACCTAGGATTGAAAAAGACAGTCTTAGGTCTGATCTAGTCTAGTACCAACCCGAGATCAAGCTGGACTGGACTTGGTCCATTGGGCTGCCTGGACTAGGACCACAATCTTTTATTTTTTTTTTTTATTTTTTCATGGGAGGCAAGATTTTAACTTGCTATATAAATTTTGCATATATTTTGATTCAAACTTCATCAAATTTGAAAATTTCCTTTTAATTTCTCAATAATATAATGTTTTATTTAAATTAATATAGATCTTACATTGTAAAAAATATATACACATGCTCATTAATTA